TGTTTATAATGACAATAAGCACATATGCAGTATTGATCTTCTATCGATATACTAAAGTAATCTGGTATACGAGTATATACAGTATACATATATACTCGATTTTTTTTTTTAGCTATTTTCAACTATTTCGAAAACCACAATAAAACGATTCGAACAAGTATAATTTTTATAGGTATATCTTTATTAGTTTATGAGATATTAAAGTTTAAAATTACTATTGTTAGTATTATGTTTAAACAACTTTCCGATGTTTATAATTAGCAGCCAATAGATTTGAAATGATCAATATAAATTCAGATATTGCCAGAAAAATCTTAATTAAAAATTTATTATATGATTTCTACTAAGTTTGCGTTTAATGTGCTATTTCACACCCTAATATTGCATTAATGATATTCTACTTGTACCAACAATCCAACCCTAAATTTAAGCCTTAAAGACTTTTTTGATAACAATATATTTTTACCTGATTTCGCTCTATTATATTATATTACGTACGTACTAGTATCTCAGAGTAAAGTGACGTGAATACCAAATCTGGTATTTTCATACACACACTAGTAATCTATTCTAGATGGCATAAGAAAGTACATGCACTTATTTGTGCGGGTAATACAAACCCCTAGAAAGAAAATAGCCAATTGAAGTCACAAAATTAGGGATAGGAATAGCTTATAGTGAGCCAGCTTAGCTATGGTTTTTAAGCCAAGCCAACGAGCCATTATGAGCCAGCTCAAGCCTAACCATTTGATGTAGTATACTATGCTATAATACAATATATTACGGTATCTTATACTATTTATTAAAATTATATGTGGTCTATTTTTCTTAAAAATTATATTTTTGATATCTGTTATACTTAAATCAAGTTACATCCTGTAGGTATTATAATTTTCAATCTTATCATTATAGATTTATAACATCAAAGTACATGTATGCATAATTATGATATAAACTACAAATAAAACTTTGCTAAAGTTAATATAAATTATATTATTGAATATATATCAATAGAAATTTAGATATGTTGATTAAGGTTGCTTGAACATGTTTTAAATGTGTTGTGGCTTGATTTTTAAATAAATATATTTAAGTCTAATATGGATAAAAATAGTTTTGTCAAATTAATATTTGTTTTGATTATTTAGTTATATATGTATATATATATGTATGAACATTCATATTAGATATGTATCAAAAATAAGATATGTTTTTAAAATAATATTGAAATTGTAAATAAAGTTATTTTATTATTACAACTATTAATTTAAGATTACAATTTGTTTTTTAAACAAATTATATTTGTAATAAATGAATTCAATAAATGAATTCTTTAAACTTGACAATAATAATTAAATTCGATTTAATATTTTTCAAACTAGTATTATAAAAAAAATAGATTTAAAAATTTATTTAAAAAAAATTAAAAATTAAAGATTATAAATTATAATTTATAACTTATTGTTTATAATTTGCATAATTTTTAACCATTTTAATATGGTGAGCTGGAAGACCAGCTATTTGATTAGCAGTATATGATTTAATTCTTTCTATTTTGTCAAAACCAATTGCTTTAAATAAATCATAAATAACAAAAACTCATTGAGTTCTTTTTTTAATGCATCTATTGAAACATATAGAAGGTGATTAATAATTTCTTTATAAGCCATTGTTTTTACTGTATTAAGATTAAGTTTTTGATCATTATTTAAAAACTCTTTTACTCTTTGCTTGTAACCAATAGCATATTTATACCAGTTTTCTATTACTATTTGATTTGCTTTTGTTGCATGTCTAAAAACACATCCACAATTAATATATAGTTGAACTAGTGGTGGTACTTTCTCTAAATAAATTCTACAATATATAAGATTATAAAATAATTATAAAAAATTAAATATATATTGCAATTTTACAATACAAATTATATATAGTAAAACATAAAATAAATATAATATTAAATAAATTTTAATTTACTTAACAATTATAATATAAAAAAAAATTATATCTTATAATAGTAATAAAAATATAATTTATCTATGATCAGAGTCTTTATCTTCACTATTATATAAATCCATTATGACATCAATTTCATTTCTGAGTTCTCTTATAATTCCAACAACTGTTTCTAATTTTTTTAGTACTTTTGAAATAATAGATGTAGTAGTTGTAGATTTAGTAGTTGTAAGCTCAGTGGTTGTTGACTTAGTAGTTGTAGACTCAGTAGTTATAGGCTCAGTAGCTGTAGTAGCTAATGTAGCAATAGATGAAGTAGTAGTAGCTATAATAGTTGGCATATGAGTTGTAATTTTAAATATAGTATTAGATGCAGTATCAGATATAGTATTAGGCATTATAATAGTAGTAATAGGTGTGGTAGTTACTATAATTAATAGTATTAATAGATTATTAATACTGTAAATATTGTAGTTAATCAAAACTATTTTTGTTAA